GCTTGGCTTTATCTAAGACGGCTCAGTAGGTAGAGCCTGAAAAATTTGCTTTTGGGGTTGGTGATTTCTGGAATCGTCCAGCCTTGGGGGAAATTCCGGGAGTGGTAGTCCCAAACAGCCCTGCTTTTTCAGGGGCTTTGGAGAAATAACAGCATAGCAAATCTGGGCTTGGCACACGGGACGGGCGATGCTGCGGGTGGTGCTTCCACAGCCTGGAGGGCACCAGGCTGATGCGAGAGGGAGTGACATGGTGCAGAAACCTGTGCTGATATGAGGCAGAGAGCTATCACGGCGTAGGGCCCGGAATGTCCCCGCTGAGACTCAAAAGAACTTGGTTTCGAAACCTCTGCTCAGTCCTGGAAAACCTCCATACCTGGAAAACTTGCTCAGGGTTACCAAGGTCGTAAGAACTCAGTGGCACAATGACATACCTGCAAGGCAGGGAGCCACTGTGTGTTTTCTGCGCCGGAGAGGCTGGAGCCCAGAGAGAGCCCCGGATCTGGGGCAGCCCTGATGCGGTGTTTCCTTCCTACCCTTGTCCCGAGAGCCTCGGGCGAGCTCTTCCTTTCCTCCAGGAAGGGCCACTGGAGAGGGCTTATGGCTGAAAAGAGGGGTTCTCGTCGGGTTGCTCGATCCCTTCTAACCTCTCTCTCTCTCTCTCTCTCTCTCTGTGTCGGCAGGGACCGCGTTAGTGCTGGCCCGGCTGCCTTTGGAAAAGATCTCCGCCTGCCTCAGTGAGCTTTGTGCCGTTCAGGTGATGGCATTGAAAAAGGTAAGGTGATGTGGCGGAAGGTTTATGGCCGGGGCAAGGGGGGCGGGGGTTGAATTTTAGGAGAAAAGCCCTCTGCTGAGGGAGGACTCCAGAGATCACGTCCCAACGTCTGGAACCCCAGGGGAGCAGCGCCTCTTGAAATGTTGTTTTGCTTCTTTGCTTCTAAAGTGGGGTGGGTGACCCTCAGGCATCTGCGGGTGGGGGGGCCTCCACCCGGCCATCCTTGTACCATGGAGGGTGGTACCTTTTCCTGCAGCCTCTCAGTACCCTGTTTCCCCCAAAATAAGCCCTACCTGAAAAATAAGCCCCAGTTAAGTGAAAGCCCGACCCCCACCCTTGTGCAGCAACCATAAGAAGATGACGTGACTGCATTTGAATAAACGTAGATGGTTGTATATGAAAAAAGTAATAAAACGTCCCTCTGAAATAAGCCCTCGTGTGTTTTTTTGGAGCAAAAATTAATATAAAACCCTGTCTTATTTTTGAGGAAACACGGTACAGTGATTCCTCTCAAGACGAATGCCTTGCGCAACGAAAAACTTGCAAGACTAAAGCGTTTTGCAATTTTTTTGTGACTTGCAAGACAAAGTTTTCTATGGCCATGCTTCGCAAGACGAATAGGAAACACATTAATTAAATTTAAGTGCATTCCTATGGGAAACTGTGCTTCACAAGACGCAATTTTCGCAAGACGAAACGACTCGTGGAATGAATTATTTTCGTCTTGCGAGGCATCACTTTATATAGATATACAGTGGTGCCTCGCATTACAATGTTAATTCGTTCCAACGAAATCGCTGTAGAACGAAAACATCGTAAAGTGAAATTTAAAAGCCCATAGAAACGCATTAAAACCTGTTTAATGCGTTCCGATGGGCTTAAAACTCACCGTCCAGCGAAGATCCTCCATAGGGCGGCCATTTTCACTGCCTGTCTTGCAAGGAATCTGTCCTTAAACACAGCGGGGAGCCATTTTATTTACCCGGCGGCCATTCTGAAACCGCTGATCAGCTGTTAGAAAATCATTGTTTCGTGAAGAATCGGTTCCTGAAGCAGGAAACCGATCATTGCAAAGCGAAAAAACCCCATAGGAAACATCATTTTGCGATCGCAAAAGTGATCGCAAAAAGTTCATCGGAACGCGATTTTGTTGTTAAATGAAGCGATCGTAAAGTGAGGCACCACTGTATTTTGGATGAAAGACTTTTTTGTGCCCTCTAGTGGCAATAATATTTTTTAAAAAAATTAAAACTTATTTTGAGTGTGAAATGGGATGTCCCCATGGCTTTTCCGTACAGTCCCCGTGGCTTTGGCGAACGTCTCTGACTTTCCCCCTCCCCGGGGTGGGGCATATGTGTTTGTGTTTCTTCTGTCTTCCAGCTTCTCTCCCAGGAGCCCAGCAACGGCCTCTCCTCAGATCCCACTGTGCCCCTAGATCGTCTCGCTGTTATATTTAGGTAGGCTGTGCCCCCCCCTTGGGAAGCGGGGTCCATGGGGTGGCTTGTAAGCCCCAAAGAGGGGACTCCTCTCCATCTTTCCCTCTGTTTTTGAGCCAGCTCTCAAGGTCTGGCTGCTCATGAGCCCAGAGTGGCTGTACGCACATCCATGCGCCCCCGAGTGTGCACGCCCTGCGTGCTATGGAACTAAGGGTTGGGGCTGGCGCACATGCACCGATGGGCCTCGGAGGTTGGCCCCGCCATCTGCTCGTGGCTTCTTCTTCCCCTCTTCTTCTTCTTTGTGTCTCCTGCAGGCATACCAACCCTATTGTAGAAAATGGACAGACCCACCCGTGCCAAAAAGTCATCCAGGAGGCAAGTGCGGATGAGCCTCCCTTCCCCCCACCCGACCTATGTGCTCCACAATACTGAGCACGAGCCAGCCAGGCAGCTCGGTTAACTGGGCTGAGCCGCTTGGAGTTGGCCACCCTCTGTGGCAGCCGTGACTCAGAGCATCCGGAGGGTCCGGCCGTTCTGGGATCAGCTCAGTGCTGAGTTCCCGTCCAGGGCTGGGGGAGGCTGGTTCTCCTCAACAGCTGTCTTCCATCTTTCCTCTTCCCAGATCTGGCCCGTCCTGTCAGAGACCCTGAACAAACACCGTGCCGATAACCGCATCGTGGAGCGTTGCTGCCGGTGCCTGCGTTTCGCTGTCCGTTGCGTCGGCAAGGGGTCAGCGGCGCTCTTGCAGCCTCTAGTCACTCAGGTAATAACACAGGGCGGCCGGAGGGGTTTTTTAGAACCGTCAGACGGCATTTCCCCCGTCTTTGAATATGGATCAATGCCTTGGGATACGTGAGCAGGGTCACCTGGGCTTCCAGGTCAGGCAGATTTATGGAAAACACCCCTGACTCTGTGCGGGAACACACGGACACGCACCCCGAGTAAAAGATGTGGCTGACTTAACAGGTTGGTGCAGGTTTGGCCTCCCTTCCCACGGCTGCTCTTTTGACCAGCCTTGGGAAGTGATGCAGAGCCCTGTTGAGCCCCGAAGCTGGAAGCAGCCCCTTGAAATGTTGACGATCCATATACATTGATGCTGTGCTGCTCTTCAGCATAATGTGCCTTTGTTTAGCTCACCTGGAGCCGTTTCCATGTTTCAAGCCAACGCTGCTCTCAGCCTGACTACTGGACTCCTGGAGTTTATGGAGATTGCAGTCTGAACATTTGGGGGTCGGGGTGGGGGGAAGTGTTCTTGGTCTGCTCTGATCTGGCCCAGAATGGAAATGGCTCTCTAGGGTTCTGGGAGGTGGCGTTGGCGTTGGGGGAGAATCTCTTTCCCCTCTCAGATGCCTGTCTCCCGAGAGAACCTTTTAGCCCCACATGCTGGAGACTGTGAATAGTAGAGCCATCTGGGCCTGGAGCAGGCGCCATC